CGAAATATAAAGCCAAACTCAATACCATTTAGTTCATTCAATATACACGGAATATGGATGCAATGGGGTAGTGTTGCAATTCAAGAGTACGATATAATATTATAGTCGATCGATCGGGATGTTGGATTTAAGAATAAGATGATCCCCCTGATCTAAGACTCGACTCTTTTTGGACATGTCTTTACGACGAAATTAATAACTAATCCTTATCCAAAATCTCTGGATCGTCTATGTTTGTGACTAAAATTTAATAGAACCAATGTCAAAAATCGATTTTAGTTAAAAAAAATCCATTGAATTCGACGATTAATTAGGCAATGTTGTCGATTTCTGTGCACTACGTTAAAGACTATTCCATCTGATAGCATTAAAATAAAACCTCTAATAAAAAATAACTTACTAACTTTACCGAATATATTAATCAAAACAGAAGAAAGGTATTACATAATCATAAACTAGAACAGATCACAGACAACCTTGAACTATCAGACATTCTGAATAAGACCGTAGGAGGTACAGCAGAGGCGGCGACTGCATGTAGGAAGATCATGCGAACAATATCGATAGATTCAATAGTGCCTATGGAAAGGCTGTAAAGGCTAAAGTATAGAATACTAGGTTTAATTAAGCAAGGTGTTAATAACATTATAGAAGATCAGAGTAAAAGGGACAGTGATAGAGGTCAGCAAACTATCATAACCAATAATGGTAAGCAATCGGCAGCGCCCACAGACACCCGTAACACCAAAAGAGTTACGTATACGTGCGTTGCCGGTCTCTTGTGGGTTAAAGATTTGAGGATTGTAGATTTGGGGAATTGAGGAGGGGTAGAATGAGTTGGATTTACGCAATGTATTCCTAATGCTTTTGTATCAAATCGCCCATTCTTCATGATAATTATCATCTCCTTAACTATCCTTAAATACTTCTTGGGAGTGCCATATAAGGCTTTGAAGTCGGTTTGTTTATAAGATCCAGTGCCTCCTGGTAGGTTTTGATGGCAGCCACCAGGACGCTTTTCATTTCCTAGTATTTATTTATTCATTTTGCACAATGTACATATAATAGGAAGTATTCTAAGTCTTCTAAGTCTTCCTCCTCAAATGCTAGGCTCCTTTTGAAGGTTATTATTATCACCATCAAAACAGGGCCCAGTGATTTTTTTTTAATACCACGCTAGCATTTATTTCATGTCGGTTTTCTGTGATGCCCTAATATCACTGCGGTCGAGACGGCCCCTTTGTGCTAACGCTACCTAGCTCTCCCAAACTTATTTTACGTTTTTTCATATTAAAACAATAATATTAGTTAAAATATATTACATACCTATACAACCCATCGATTGTATGACTGACCTCGACATGTTTGTATCTACAGACATACTACCCATACCCGCAATTCCTCAAACCAGATACGAAACACTGAACCATACAGTGCTATCTTATCACAACAGATTCTAAGAAAAATGTACGACTAAATATAATGCTAAAAGTCGTCTTACAAGTAATATGAGTTTTAGCATACATAATATACATAATATGCGAATTTGGTTGGTATGGTTTTGGCTAGTTACGTATGCGACTCATGATCATCGTGATAGACTTGGCAGTCTGTTGTGTATTTGTTATCTGTGCAAATAGATTACTGGCCACTTGTGATGACAATAGTCTATGCTTATAATAAAGAAATAAAAGAGTGTGCTAATGGCGGTCTGCAGTTTCATTTGTTCCTGCATGTAAACATTTTATACAACACGGTCCATTTCTAGAATTTCTAGAATGTCTTTTCTACGCAAGATGCAAAGTCTACCAAAAAAATACTGAACCCCATTTCCATCAACCTCTCCTTAATAAGGAACCTCGAAACTAAGATAGGTGACACTAAATGACGTTTTATTATTACAAACCTACAACTGACACCTAACAGTACAAGTAACGCGTTGAGGTGTTTCGTCACACTAGAAAACTCTTAGTTAAAAGATGGTTTAGGGGACCATCAACTATACCAGTCAGCCTCACCTGTTAATTGAGCTGACCGTAAACCGACACATGCGTACTGCCTTCAGAACGGGTCCGCTCAAACTGTTGTGGTTCTTTCCTCAAAAGGCCACTACAGAAAGAAATTGCACGGTTCTTACACATAATCTTTTATGCACATTTGTCTGGACTTTAGAAGAGACGGACCTCTGAGTTTGTTTCGGCATTTCTTCCCAGAGTAGTCAGTTAGGAAATGTTGACCTCATCGTTCGCTTGATAAAATTGACGTGTAAAAGTGCTGCCTTGTAGCCTATTTGCAGAAATAAATTCACTTGTCACTGTAGTAGAACGGCCATAATAGTGACAAATCAGTTTTTAAACAATTATTTCAACTAGAGGAAGGGTCAAGGTATAAACAAATAGGTTTAGCGCTAGACCACAACAATCACCTTACTAACCTAAAAATAACGGCAAACAAAACATAATAATGCTGTCTGGGCATCCTAGACAAAAAACTTTAAACCACTAAGAAATTGATGAGTTCTCTCAGAGAAAATTACTTTAATATTCCCATTGAGGCGTGACCTAAACCTGTTTGTGTTAAAACCAACTTAACTTTGTCATCCCTTCAAGTTAGATGTAGCTTTAAAAACCATAGGGATAGAGAATATATTCGTCTGTAAGGGTCCTGAGTTGATGGTAAAGTTAAGTTTGTGGCAGCAGTCGCAAATGATTTTTTACCTTCAGTCGATTTGCGTGAGTCAGCGTCTGTTGCCAGACAGGCCTCATACCATGGAGCTTATGGTGTGAACTAGTATCGTTTACTATGGGAAATATTACACAGAATTATGTAGTATACTTGGAGTATGATAGGTAGGTGCAGTAATGATGTTTTTGGAGTTACAATTTTCAAAATTATTAGTAGTTTTGTTCAGTTTTAGATGTTTAGATTAGGAATACTTTCGAGGATAAATCTTAAAATTATCAATTTATGAGACTAGTTTGTAGGATTTCTCTCACAAATAGGATGACTTAAACCCATACATGCAAAAAGTCGCGGAGAACCTAACGGGTTACCGGGGCTCCGGCTCGACGTGCAGGAGAAGGAACGGGGTGGTTTTTAGTCAGTAAGAGTCTGACACTCCCGGAGCCTCACTCAGGCGGGAGCAGTCATTCGATGATTTTCCCCCCTTAAAAAAAAATAAATGCAAAAAAGTAATAAAAATAGTACCTTTCCAACAGATATTTGCATCTATTACTTCAGTCAATAATTATACTAAGTTCCTATTGCATTTTATCTCACATCATCCTAAATTTCAAAATGGATCTAAAAAAGCAGCAAATAGATTTTAAATTGTCTCTATTTTATTTTACTTACATTACTATCTCGTTTACATGAAGGAATGCAAAATTTCGTGGTAGGCGGAGCAAAAACAATGAAGCCGTTAGATAATTGACACGACCGGCACGCCATGCTACTGTAGGCCCCATGCGGCTATGATTTCATCATAGCCAAAAATAGCCTTTGTTTTTAATGCCTAAATTGTATCTAGATTAATAGTACGCATGTGTCATTTTTATTCGCGTTGGTCCTAGAATATAGGTAAGAGTTAATATAAACATGATTATAAAAAATATTGTTTTTACTAATAGAAGTTATTACTTTATTCAATCCGAGAATCAAACTTCAATTTCAATAAATTCTATCCATCAAGTTGAGTCCAAAACTTATATGATTTCCGTATTTTATTTATTAAAGTTAATAAATGTTGATGAAGTGAAAAATATATGTAAGTATCGTAGTCATTGGCGTTCCATAGTCTCTGCCTACCCCCATGGGAGACAGGCATGAAGTTATGTATATGTATGTTGATAAAATATGTCAAATAGCCGAAATAAATATTAATTTGTATACCTTTGAGACATAAATTAAAATAATCAAGATCGTGTTGAAAGGTGTGATTGATAAGATTTTATTAGATTAGTTTTTGAAGAAGACGAAAAATTAATGGCTTATATAAATAATTTTGCCCTACCTAAGAATAGACTAACTCTCTAATTACGTTACCTATTAAAGTACTGCATTATACAACACTAGCGATCCGCCCCGGCTTCGCACGGGTGCAACATGTATGTATTATACATATACACCTCCCTTAAGAATCATCAATCTATTAAAAAAACCCGCATCAAAATCCGTTGCATAGTTTTAAAGATCTAAGCATACATAGGGACAGACAGTCGGCGGATAGACTTTGTTTTATAATATGTAGTGAAGATAGTTTAGTTCAAGAAGTGACAGTGATGCGGACGAGTACTTTGACGCCTAATTAAGAGTATTTTGTTTTTTTATTCTTTTATTCATAAGTTTAGTTGTAAATATTTATATAATTTTATTTCATTTCTTTCAAAATCAACTAAACATAAAAAAATACACAACAAACTTTAGGTACTAGGGCTACTAGTAATGTTCAAGAAGTATTTTTAAAAGCCATAAAACTAATTTCACATTACACTCATACCTTTATTTTTGCTATACAAAAAACCAATACTTCAACAATTTATGGACAATATTAAATATTTAACCACGGCGATGCTTATGTTTAAGACATTTAAAAATAACCATTATGTATGTAGACGACCATCACCGACACTTAACGCCGTCTTATCTATAAAGAATAATCTTAAACTATGCCTTTTAAAGATTTCATAAAGTAACTCCTTTATTCTCTAAAGGTCCGATTAATCCTTTTAAGCAGACTAGTGCCCTTTCATAGGGTCATTTGTACTATGTCATTGGTTAAAAAAGCACTCTGATTTTGCTCTTTATGTTAAGAGTCTGGACTTTTGGAGCACCGGCTCTTATAGCAGTTATAAGCTGATTTAGATAAATGGGACCGTCGGTAGAGAGTTGCCAGGGCTTCGGCTCGAAGTGCAGGAGTAGGAATGGGGTGGTTTTTAGTCAGTAAGAGTCTGACATTCCCTCTCGTACCAGCCGGACGAGACAAATCATTGGATGATGATATGTCGATAAAGAAAGAATTCTCCGACCAAGCTAGGTAATCATCCACGGCAAATACTTTGCCTGACCCAATTTCATATGTGATCACACACACAAGGTTGTTCAGATCCGCCCATGTCAATAACACTTTACTTAATCTGTGATCATATTCAACTACTAAAGACTACACCAATCACACTGTAAACACCTTTCTCAAGTACCATAAAAAATACTTTCGCATTCTAGAAAAAGTATCAATTATGTCACGTACTCTTACATCAAGAGGCTCATAAATTATTTTTAACTGCCTTTATTAACCTGCACGACGTCATAAACACGTTATTCGCCTGTCACTTTACTGGGCAAGCATTTTTGGTAAAGGTCAGAAAAGGAAAGCGAATATTCAGCCTCATATAACTCACTTCACGAACTCCCAACACGCACTCTGTTTTAAAATGTTCAATTCAATTAATTGACGCCGGAGTTGATCCTGTTAATTTGTACAAAAAAACTAATTTCGCCCACAATCCTCAGACGATAATATAAAGAAAAGAAAAACCCGTAAAAGAGCTCGCGGTATGCGCATACGACGGTCAATCTTCTCATAATGTCATTTGTCCGTGGAATCAGGACACGGTTCGAGCTTTAACGTACGACAGAGCGAGACAACACATCATCGCCTCGCCACCCCGCCTCGTGAGGCAACACGTCTTGTATTTAATTACTTCGTTTGCAGACACTTGATTTACGAATCGCTTAATTTGAAAGTGTTGATTTAAGTTTTGATGAGAGAGCCTGCTTCACCAGAAGTTATAACGACACCCACGTATAAATCAGTTTGTTTTAAACTCAACCGCCCGGAACATGAGAAATGTGAGGACATAAACATATTTATGACGCAATTACATTAATTTTCGAGAAAATTAAAGTACATGTATAGCAAGGAAACATTAGTGAACCATTAAACATCGTAAAAACTCAGTCATTTACTGTCGGCCCATAACTCCATTTAAATTCCGACGCAACATCCTCATTCGATATAATTGCTTATAACAGTCCGGCGCTGTACAGTTCAAATTATATTATTATCCTAAGCTAGAATAACTTCAAGGGTCGTTAATGTGTAAATCGATTGCCATGCATGGAGCGCGGAGTGCCATGCGCAGTCGCATACTAATCGGAGAGTGACACAACAAGCGTTATAATCAAAACAATATTAACATGCTTTATTCCTGTTGCAGACTTGGCGGCGATACGTCAACTGCTGGAGAGCGAGACGGGAGGCACCACCTGTCCCAGCTGTAACATGCCCTTTGACAAGGGCAAGAAGAGGAAACTGATCGACACTTGCGGGCATGAGCGATGCTACTCGTGCATGTTCAGGAACGAAGCTTGTCCGACGTGCGCGAGGAATAACCAGGCCCAGCGGCGGCCGGTCATGGAGAGGTACACCCCCTCGCCACAGCGGCAGGAGCCAGACTGGCAGTCACCGCACCGCCTGCCCAAGCCACCGAAGCAACCCTCCAACCTAGCACAGAGCTGCCCCACACCACCGCACACCAGGAGAAGATTCTTCCTGAGCCCTAAATCACTACGCAGTCCCTTCGGGCAGCGCGCGCGCCACTCGCACGACAACCACGTGCCCCTCTCTGGTAAGTAGTTCGCACGCACTCATATTTGCATACCTGTGGGCCTGCGCGTGGTAGCCGCGGATTTGCATCGTTGTGCAACGGCTGCACACGCAAGCTACACTTCATTGATCCCTTCTTGGGCACAGTTGAAATCTCATTCACAAGCAGGTCGCGCAGCACCTCTCACTTCGATGGCCCGCTTTATGAGCTTTACGAAAACTGCGAGGATCCACTGCGCCATAAATATCAGTGAGTGACAGTTGCGACACGCGCGCCCACGCAGCGCCGCGCCGGATGTACGTAGGGGTTCCTTAAAGGACCGGTTGTCTGTCTACTGTATTTATTAGTTTAAGTATAATTCCGTACTTTTGCAACGCTGCCCGCGCAGACAGCGGGCCGGCTGTGAACATTATCTCTGTATCTGTTACATTTTCCATTTCCATTAATTATATCATTCCGGTCCACCAGATTTCTTGGGTAATTGAAATATACACTTCGTTCACAGCTGTGAGTTTCTTAATAAACTATTAGTATCAATTCGCCACGGCCCTTGCCCCTTCACGTTTGTACTTAATCTGTCGATTGCTAACATTTCTATCTGTCGATATGAATAATGGTATCTTTTACAATTCGTAATGGTTTGTTAATGCGGCGAGGTGCAATTAGTTGACGATCGACGTTCGATTGGGATCGTGTGATACAAATGTTACTGACACCAATATTGATGGATGGTGAGAGATTTGTTGACGGTGTACTGGGTGCTTCTACAGGCTTGCCGGAGGAAGGGCCTCGGAATGCGGCGTGGCACAGCTTGGTGTTCAATAAGATCAGGTCGCTGTGGTCCACGCACTCCTCAGTGCCCCAAGGACTCAACCAACTGACAGGCACGAAGTCTTAATTTTGCATTGGAATGTGGATTATACCGATGTTGCTCATTTAATTGCAAATGTGGCTTTAAGAATCAATTATTCGTTTGCATCTTAAAGATCTTAAATGTATTGTTAAGTTTCTGGAATCGATTTGGATTCGATAGTTGGATAATATGGGGAACATACATCGAATAATTGATATGGTATGTTTCCCTGAACTGTATAGATTGATGGATCGATTAATGTAGTATCGATTGTTGCGGTAAATGAACAGATCGGTATTCAGTCCACATTCCCTGGTGTAGCACGGTCGTCGTTTGATTTTTGCACATCTTGTTGCCTGTACGCATCGCTCCGTGCGTTTGACACATAGCTTAGTACCGGTTTTGTTTTACCATTGTTTATTTGCATTTTGTGTGGTTTTGAGTTTGTTGTTTTCGATTTTTAACGCTTGAACCATTTTTGTGTTGGACGTTATTTTAGTGCCCCATTTTAAGATCACGATTTATGTTATAATACGCACACTGTAATGATAAAATATTTATATGCACAAAATGTATACCTGTTATTAATTCCATTAACCGATTTTTGATCGATTTCGATTAAAAGCACAATTTTAACCGATATAAACACAACCTTCACTCGCATGAATCATGAACGTATAGAACACGATGAAGACATGAGTAATCGATTCTTGAATCGAGATAAAGAATCGGTGACAAAAGTAACATCGATTTGTGGCCAAGATCATCAGTATCGATAAAAACTGATCGTGTCCGGAGATAAATACGAGAGGAATTATGATTTCCAAAACGATTGTTATGTGGATTATAAAGATTGTTTGAATGGTAATATTTTTCTTTTATTGAGCTTATTTTGTATGCTTTCTCAAGTAGGTATAGTTATTAATACGGATATGAATTTAATATTACTGCTCGCCGGCCTGGCCGGTCTCGGGTTCGATACCCGGGTCGGGCAAAGTATTACTAGGTTTTTAAAAAATCTCAGTAGGCTCACCCCCTATTACATGGGTCTAATAACATAAATATTGAATAGTGGGTGTTACATTGTACAGTGGCATAATGTGCACCTCTGCCTACCCCTTTAGGGATGAAAGGCGTGATGTTAGGTACCTATGTGAAATGGCTATTAAAATAGTAGCTTTTCTATAGTTGTTTCTTAGTATTTGTTATTATCTAGTTCTTGTACCATAAGTGTCACGGTGTGTGGACTAGAATCTAGGTTATGACTGTCTAAGCCCTAGATAGTTATTATTTTCCTCAAGAATTGGTCTATCTATTGCTTAGTAAATTATTCGGATCCGGTCGGCAGTTAGATTTAGATTAAGGCGTTCAATCAAGCTTACTAAACAAATTGTATCCTTGATATTTTCTAAATGTAAAACTACTGCGAGGCTATTTTGTTATTGTCAATTCTAACTTCCGAAGTGAGCTCGATCGAATTCTCGCCCGTCATTGATCGAGATCATCCTCACAACCAATGAGTTTACTTCGATATTTCGAATTAAAAGCTTCAGAATAGCCTTTAGCTGAACGGATTTTGGTAAAATCTCAATAAAAGTAAATCTATAGATTGAAATCGGCTAACATCTCACCTGATACTGCTGTTAAAGCCTCACCTAATATAACACTGAGTGGCTGACTAGATGATCGAATGTCACTTCTCGGATTCAATCTCCGGGTCATTAATATTCTTGAGCGTTTCGCTCTTCAGTCTATGTATACTTTTTTTAGGATTTTTCATAAAATATTGAACACTACTTCATACATAATTGGCAACATTTTCCTTTATAATTTATTTATAACATTAAAAATAACAATATTGTACTGAATAGTCTGAAACACAGGTTTAACCTAGTCAGGCAAATAAGCTACAGAGCTCTAATCAAATCGTTAAGATTACTATTCATGTAAATATGGCCCTTTTTATAAAATAACAATTTATTTATTTATTTATTTATTTATCACGGAATTTGGATCAAATATAATTATCCTTTACTTACCTTACACTTTAAAACACAGCAGGATGTCATATTTTATGCAATAACTGGCAATTTCATTCACGACCTAGTATTGTCAGACGACAAAACTCAGTGGGTAGTATGACGCGACTGTACTACGTAGGTTGGGTAGAGGTCGCTAGTTGTCACCGAAAGAGACGAGCGAGGGCGGGTCCTTGTCTAATCGAAACGAGTATTTGTATCAGTAATAGTACTTTAAGTAGTATCGTGGCTGGCCTTTGGTTTAAAGTTAAAAGTTAACTAAAGTCTTGAGAGACTTATTTCATAGAACACTTTCGCTGTCTTACAATAAAATGTTCAATATTTTATGCATTAAATATTGGATACTGTCCAATAAATTAAAGGTGAAATATTTGACTGTTTCAAACAATGAGTGGGAAAAGTTCCTATTAGTCTTAAGTATAAAGGAGGACCAAACTACATTGCCTAATTTAGTAAGGAGAATTTATAAATCAAAAAAGTCAACCTTTTTCATTTGCCTCAAGCGCAGATTTATCAAATCATTATTTCCACACATTTGTAATTTCATGAGATATGTGAGCACCATGTTAGACTATAAGATGTTTTTGTTTTGTTTTATTTTTATTTTAGTAGGTTTTGTAATTCGTACAATGCGTCAAGCGTGTCTTCACATTGTTCTCACATATACGTACAGTATTGGAATATGTATCAGAGAAATTGTAGAACATACCTTTTTAAAAAGAGTAACGAATGGACTTTCTTACTCGTTCTTCTCCATTCGAATCTACGTTTTGGAATGAGCACCTAGCTTCACCTAGGATCACTGACGGACTGAATGACAGACTATTATTTATTTTGTATTTGTTGACGTTTCAAAAATACCAAATTATGGATCAATTGAAATAAATGCTTTGACTTTGACTTAGCCTTTGACTATAGATTCGTACTACTTAAGTTAGTCTATAACTTTACTCGATAGTGCATTCACATAACAAGTTAGTGAATGAGACATTTGTATTAGTTAATGCCTGAAGTTATTGCAGTGTGGGTGATATTATTGATTTTATAATTTGTATTTTGTTATTGATAAATATATACATTCTGACGTGGTCGGCAGACATGTATAGTACAACATGTCATTGTCACGATATTCTAGGAGAAAATAAGGTTAAATATGTAAGTACTATCTATACCTATACCATATAATAATTTAAATTAAATAAATATAAATACAACTTAAAACATAAATAACTAAAACTGTGGCGACATATGTTACATGTCAACGGACTGCCTCATTGGCCGAGTGGTCGCAAGTGCGACTGCCGGGCAAGAGGTCTCGGGTTCGATTCCCGTGTCGGGCAAAAGTATTACTGGGTTTTTCAAAAAATTCCCAGTAGTAGCACGGAGTCTGGAATTGTGCCCGGTATATGGCAATATGCTCACCCCCTATTACATGGGACTCATAACATAAATAGTGAAAAGTGGGTGTTACATTGTACAGTCGCATAATGTACACCTCTGCCTACCCCTTCGGGGTTAAAAGGCGTGATGTTATGTTATGTCAATGGATGACGTCACAAAAATCCTACATCGCACATGCAAAGTTTACATGCAAATTAACACGGATTGAAAATCCCAACGGACAACTGTTGGGCCGAAAGCCCGAAAGGCACGATCACCTGCCTGGTCGGAGGATCCTCCTTTTCCGATCTTAGGGAACTATACACTCTGTTCCCTACAAAATAAATAGGTACACCTTAAAAAAATAATTATAAAAATGTTATTATAAGGCATTAAAAAAAAATTTTTCGTCATTGCTATCGTGAGGTAGAGTGCCCAAAAGACTGGCAGCATTGCCACGATATTCTTGAGTTGAATTGGAACGGAGTAGACTTTTCGATTTTGTAAATAATAAAACACCACAACATAAATATATAGCGTCACTCCCGTTCATCTTTAAAGGGTAAGCAGAATTACAGATATTAAATGTAACATTGTTGCCTCGTTGGCCGAGTGGTCGTAAGTTTGACTGCCAGGCCAGGGGTGTCGGGTTCGATTCCCGGATCGAGCAAAGTATTACTGGGTTTTTTCAAAAAATCTCAGCAGTAGCACGGAGTCTGGAAATGTGTCCGGTATATAGCAATAGGCTTACCCCCTATTACATGTTCCATGGGACTCATAACATAAATAGTGAAAAGTGGGTGTTTCATTGTACAGTGGCATTAAGTGCCATAGTGTGCACCTCTGCCTACCCCTTCGGGGATAAAAGGCGTGAAATTATGTTATGTAACATCCACTTTTCACCAAATATTACGTGGTCCAAATAACCTATTGCCATTATGCCGGAAACATTTCCAAACTCTGTGCTATAACTGAGAAACTTTCAATCCTAATAATACTAGGTATGTTTGTTGACGTTTCAAAAGTACCAAATTATGGTCTAATTGAAATAAATGCTTTTGAGTTTGAGTTTGAGTTTATGCTTGACCCAAGAATCTACCCCTTAACTCATCATTCGCAGTATAGCAACATCAAGTAAGTTAACACCATGATCTCTGCTGATACCTCGAACAAATGAAGCGTGTTACACCCGATACGATGCTTCCGTCATTCTCGTGAACACTGGACGATCATGTTGCTAACGTGTCTGAGTAACTCAGGTTTAGAGGTCACCTGACCCTTTTGTTATGGGTTTTATTTTTATACTAGCTACTTCCGCGCAGTTTCACACGCTCTGCTCAGCTCCTATTGGTCGTAGCGTGATGTTTTATAGCTTATAGTCATCCCTGATAAATGCGCTATCCAACACAAAAAGAATTATTCAAATCAGACTTGTAGTTACGGAGATTAACGCGTTCAAACAAAAAAAAAACAAACTCTTCCGCTTTATATACCTCTATATAATTGTAAATAGATTTGTTTGCGAGAAGTAACACTGACTGGTAGAAAAAAACATAAATATGATAGAATTTGTAACTTTATTTTACTAACGACCAATAAAAACCATATAACA